GAGGCAAAAAAATATAAATGTCTTCAGGGATAGAGTATCTGAAAGTTACTGAGCTAAAAAGACACAGCACAAACCATAAACAATCGAGGTTACAGACAACATGCCGAGGGGTCTAGAGAGAAGGGATATAGTGTATGAAGCATCTGGGTGCCTGCTTCACCTATGCACAGGGACACAGCTGCCAGAGTCCTGCAGAGTGGACATTACCACATCCACCACACAGGTTCCTAGACCCTGACCAGAGCTGCCTGGAAGTTCTAGACTCATCAGTAAGATCTTGGACAGCCTGTAACCTGAGTGGCTGGTTCAAAACAAAGAGAAAGATTCTTTTGGAAATCTAGAGTTAGGAAACAGAGACAGAGGCAATATTTGACAGAGGCAGAAGTTAGGAAGCCTTGTGAAAAGTTGTCTTCTGATTGAAGAAGCTGTGGGGAAGGCAGTGGACCCCAGAGTGGTCAGGAGTTATGCAGGAATAGGAACACATAGTTGGTATGAGAGTCCATCCATAGACAAGGACAGAGAGGGAGAAATATTTCATGAGGCATGGGACCTTAGATGTGGCCCTAGTTCCATGAAGACTGAGCTAAATTACACAGACCCGATCTCTGAGTTTTCTGATATTTGCAGTGTATTCTTGCAACAAATCCTGCTTTGCTTAAGCTAGCATAAGAGAGTTTCTCTTCTTAACACACAAATAAACCTGATTAGATTAGCCTATCCATACCTTTAAGGAACCTCCTTAAAATCATATCAGAGTCAGGATTTCTAGAAGAGAAAAATCATAAGACACAAACTGACCTGGAATCTTCATAAATCTATAAAGATATATATTTCTCACCCTGAGGAGTAGGGATCCCACAGGGGAAATAACTGTTGAATCTCCTTGGAAATGTCACCTGGGAATGGAGAAAAGGGCCCATAGGGGTGTGACCCTAGATGTTCCTTGTGGTGATGCCAAGCTGAAGGTGAATAAACACTGTTCTGTTGACCAGATTATTTTATTGATGTTACTCTATACCTACTTTCTCTTCTCTGCCCTGCCATAGGTTGAAGCATTGCCACATTCTGTATCTCTCCCTGGATTGACACCCTCATCACCGTCTCATGAGAAGTTCATGCTTCCCACATTGACCATGCTCTTGCCCAGGTAGCTTGCATGTGACTCCTAATCACATGAGAGAAAAATGACAACATGTAAACTCTAAGTCCAGGCCTTCAGGAGCCCTGTCCGATATATATCAGCCTTACCACAAGAGGGCAATGTTCTTCCCAAACTGCTGATTTCAACAGAATGAGAGACACATGTGGCAACCTAAACAGAAACCAAACCTTGGACTGGAGTGAAGTTGAATGGAGCCCATGAAAGATCAGGAGAGCTACTCCTGGCCCACTATAGGCACAGGAAAAATAAATCTTATTGGGCTGGGGATTTAGCTCAGCGGCAAAGCGCCTGCCTGGCAAGCGCAAGGTCGTGAGATCAGTTCCCGGTACCGGAGAAAAACCAAAAAAAAAAAAAAATCTTATTGCTGCTGACATGTGCTGTTTGTTATGTAACACTGCTATGGAAGTGGTTAAATGATAAGGATCCTTTAAAAGATTAAATTGAATGATCTTGCATGGGGAATTCACTGAAGGAGCAGCTGGGGCCACAGCAGCTCAGTGAGTCCAAGGGATGCTGCCTATGATGGCAGCAGAAACACCCCTAAGGGACTAGAACTTTAGGGCACAGGAGGTGGGCTAAAGGTCCAGTTTCTCATTTCCTTGAGGAGAGACTCCTCTTGCCCAACCATGCAGATTTAGTTGTATTTAACTAAATAAAATATGATAGATTTCCCAAGTACCTTAGCTGCCTGAGGCTGGTTCTGCCAGTTTCTCAGCTGTCCATCAACTTTCTTCAGCTCCTTCTTCCACCGTGATGCAAGCGGAACTTGATACATGACTATCAGCCTCTCTGGTAGTTACCTGCAACCAATGGGCTGACTTTTACCCAAAGTGATGTGAGCAGAAGAGATCAGTGCTTCATTTGTGCTGGTATAGCAGGGAAGTGGGCATGCCTCCTCTACTTTCCATTTCCTGCCAGCTGCAGACAGAGACAGTGCTTTAGGACATGCTAATCAAACGTTGTCCAATAGACTAGATATTTGTTACCCAGGCACAGTGAGATTAAAAATCTTGTTCCAGAAAACACACACAAAGTAATTGCAACATTGGTTAGTTCAGTTGAGTTTTTTCCATAGCAAGACATTCCAGATGAAGGAAACAGTGCCTGGGTTTACATTTTAATGCAAGTGCCTTTGTGTAGCACTGTATTAGGAAATAGTAGAAGCACAAGATGCCTTGTATTATGGTTTGTGTCTGGATGTCTCCCCAAAGCCTCATGCAGTCATGGAGCAGGCTTCTAGAGTTTATGATTGATTCATGGTCCAATGCTGGGATTATGGGTGTGAGTGCTACACCCGCCCTGGGGCAGATAGCTTGCGTACAATATAAGGGAGGGAAAGAGGCTGGCCTGTTGCTCTTCCCTTTTGCTCTTGTTGTTTCGCTATCTTCTGCAGCCATGAATTGTTGCCCTCTGCCATGTGCCACTCTGTCTTGGAGCCAGCCGAGTATGGACTGAAACCTTCACAAATTGTGAACTAAATAAACCTTTCCTTCCTTAATTTTTGGCATCAGCTTTTTTGTCTCAGCAATGAGAGAAAAGTAACCAAGACACCATGGATCCAGGTTCCTGAATATCCACATGGGATGGGCTGCCTACCAACCTGGAATGCCTGCCCTGGACACAAAAGAGAAACAAACTTTTCTTTTGGATGGGTCATTGCATTGTGAGGTCTCGTTCCCATAGCAGTTCACTTTTCCCTAAGTTAGGGGAATTAATCATCTCTTTGTGGTAGACAGTTGTGACAGTTTTTAAATGCACATGAGAAGACACTCAGCCAAGATCTTCTAGGGCTCATTCATACTGGCTGAATCAAACATTAAATGGTAACAAGACACCGACTTTTCTGGCTATAGGACTAGACTCAGCTCCTATACTTACAGGGCAATGTATCCATACATTCACAACTACTGAATCCCAGCTCTGTGCCTAAACCTAGGCCAGGCACTGGAAGCAGTGCTGAACAATATTATTATTGCTGCTCTTATAGGTGCCAAAGCAGTTACTATGGACCCATCCTAGTCTGGGGCGGAAAGCTTGTGGGCTGGGGTATTTAGAGCAAAAGCTGGGGTAAATAGAAGGGCCCAGTACTTCCTGGTTTGCAAATAACACACACACACACACACACACACACACACTCAGAGGGCTGCCTGCATTAACAGAAAAGTTGTGCTTTCTGTAGAACTATTCTTACTTTTGAATGTCTTACAGCGTTCCATAGGAGGAAAAACATCATTTAAAAGGTTCTAAAATAATCTTGGGGCTGGGGATTTAGCTCAGTGGCACAGTGCCTGCCTGGCAAGCACAAGGTCATGAGTTCAATTCTTGGTACCGGAAAAAAACCCAAAAAAACAAAAACAAAACAAAACAAAACAAAACAAAAAACAAAAAAAAATAAATAAAAGGTTCTAAAATAATCTTGATTAAACGAAAGGGAAAGAACATATCTCTCCAACACAAGCGGGAGAGAAAAGGCCTTAATGCTCCTCAAAGGCCTGAGGTTGCAGAAGGTATTAAATCTTAGCATTTCTTTGATTAGTCGTTCGTTCATCAAATACTTGTGGAACACCACTGTGATCCAGGCGCCCTGTAGGCGTGGAGCAAGGCCGCGTTGCTGTGGGAGAGCAGACTCACCGAGTGGGAGGTGGAAGCCTATGGATGATCAGTTACCTGTCAGGCAACATCTGCGTACGGATGGGGCCTGGGGATGGAATGCAGAGGCTGGGAGCCCAGGAGAGTTGGAGCCCAGGAGAGACGGAGCCCAGGCCAAGTGTAGACTCTTCATTTCGACTTGCAGTTAGATCACTCCCTCAGGATAGTATTGTTGTATTTCCTTGGCTACCAATCATGATCTTAAGCATTTTCCCCTTAGAGCCAGGAACATGCACAAAATACTTTTGCAAGCCCAAGAATTCCGTCATGCAATGTGCTGTGTGTGACCACCTAAGACGGGCACAGATGTATTGAATCACTGGATGCTCAGGCAGAAGCATAATTTTCCAACCAGTATCAACACCATGTTGTCAGGGAACACGGAGGACTCACCAGGGAGGAAATTTGCCAGCCCTGGTGGAGGGGGGAATAGACCTCTTCTACTACAAGGACAACCACAGGACCAGCTCCGGCAGCCAAAATGTGGGCGACAGCCTCCTACCACCTTCTATTTATTGTTGCATCTTCTCTTAGCACCCATGGCACTTAGAACCTCAGGAGCTGGGCTGATGACCTGCCTTCAGATCTGAGAACCTAAGGGCAGAGGAGACTTGAGCAGCTATGTGCATTCAGCCCATTGGACAGTGTGAGCTTTCAAGTAGGGGCAACCTAGGGAAATCAGCTGAGAAGCAGCTTCATCTTCTGTTGCATAGAAGCCACGTGCTCCTTGAAGGGATCATGTGTTTACTCGGACTAGCCTTAGCTCCGATCACATCCTCCTTTTTGCCCAACGAATGTGTGTGTGGGTGACTGGAAAGCCGTGGTGGGATTGTGTGGGTTATGGGTGGAAATCTGCAAGAGCGAGACAAGTCCTAAGGTCTACAGGGATGGCGAGGAGGTTGTCGGACGTCACAAGTTCCAAGCCCCTCTAGAAAAACCCAGCCCCAAAGCGTCCATCCTTAGCGCGCAGCCCTTTTGCACCCTGAGATTAGCCCTTCAGGTCCCTGCTCCCTTTTGTAGGTTCCAACATGGAAGGCCCCCCGGGTGAGGCTGGAGAGGAAGGAGTTTACTAAATTGGGTTGGAACCAAGGCGTCGAGGATAGGAGGAATTAATCGGAGGTGGGGAACGCGGACGGGACCAGGGGAGAGAGCGGGGCCACTGTATCGTCACTCGCAGGAAGATGGATGATTTCCCGGGCCGCGCGTCCGGCGGCTCTGTGCGGAGACGTCAGAGCGCTCGGGTCCGTGTTGGAAGAGCCCCCAGCCCCTCCCCGCGCCAGGGCTTCTATATAAAGTCGGGGCCCTAGTGGAGGCTACAGCAGTGGCGCAGACGGCGGAGGTGGTGGCGGAGCTGCTCCGAGGTCGGGTCCTCCCGTCGCTGCTCCGCGGGGAGAACACACTCGCCACCCAGCCTCGCCCAGCCTGGCCGCGGCGCTCCGAGGGCTTCCCACCGGGATCATGCGGCGCCCTGAACTCCCGCTCGTCCTGCTGGCGCTGGTCCTCTGCCAGGCACCCCTGCGGCCAGCCGCCCCGGTGCCGGAGGGCGGAGGGACAGTGCTGGCCAAGATGTACCCACGCGGCAACCACTGGGCGGTGGGTGAGTGTCCCAGTGGGGAGAGTCGTGCGCTCCTGCGCTCTGAGGGCTCGGCCAGCCAGAGGAGACCTGGGTTTGGGTTTGCTCCGAAACACCTATGGCAATCTCCCCAAACTCCACCCGACCCTTCCCACTCCCGAGAGTCTGTGGGTCTGCTTCCTTGATCCTTTCCCGCTGGCTTCGCGTCTGTGCTCACCCTGTTTTCCCCAGGGCACCCCCGCCAGCGCTCAGCTCTTCAATGAAACCCAAGCTTGAATGCAGATTACGCTCCCAGTACCTCCCCGCACCTACTCAGTACCTGCTTTTGTCCACCTGATCTCTACCCTGCCTGGCGTGAATTCTTTTCTTGAGCAACTTGGGGAGCGAGGTCCCCGGAGGGTGTCTCGGATCCCTGGCCCATCCGGCCTTTTCAACTCCGATCGCCAGGGGCTGGAATCTGCTGCGCGACTGCGCCGGGCAGAGCCACAGGTGTGAGGACCTGGGAGCAGCGCTCCCATCCCGGGTTTCAAATCCGGTCAGACTGAATCTCGCCTGCATCTGCGGCTCTCCTGGGTTATCTCAGTTCCCTCCCCCTTTGCCGGGAAATTCCTTCCCTTGTCCGTCCTTCTACCCATCCCTACCTCTTTCCAGCCAGCGCACCGGGCGCTTCAGAAATCTAGCCTCCTCTCCTGCTCCTTCTGGCCTCTCTTTCCTGGACCCCCAGCTCTTCCTCCGTGTCTTTAGATCAGCGACTTCGCACTCCTCTCTCGCTTTTCTCCCATTTCCTCTGCCAAGACGTCCTACTGTCCAGGCAAGGCTGGGAGGTTTCTTAGTCCAGGAATCCTGTCGGTGAAGACTCCAGAGCCCGGTGTGGGTGGGGCTGGGGGCTATCTGCGGGGTCTGCGGTCTTGGGTGCGATGCACCTAGAGCAGTCCTGCAACTGAGATGCAACTAGTGGCCTGGCAGTATCGCCCTGTCCCGACGCTATCACCCCGAGTCTGGGCCTCTTGAACTCTCCCAGAATAGCTTCGGACAAATGCGAAGGATCCAAAGTCCTGGGACATCCTTCCGACCAGGCAAATGCAATAGCTTCAACATTTCCCGGGAAGCTAGTCCATTCCTGAAGAGACTGAAGGCGTGTGTGTGTGTGTGTGTGTGTGTGTGTGTGTGTGTGTGTGAGAAGGACTATTTTTTTTAAAAATCAACTACTTAGAAGCAGGCAAAGCGTGTTGGAAACGTACTCATTAATTCAAGTATCAACTGATTCACAGGTTCTCCTTGCCACTTCGAGGAAGAATTTTGGGGAAGGGTTGGAACTAGAACTGCTTCCTGGGCTTCTCAGTGTTGTATGCACTTTGTCAGAGAAGCAAGAAGCTTGGTTGTAATAGAGCAGGTTCTATAGTTGCGAGAAGTATCAGCTGGCAAATCCTGGCAGGTCCAGGCCCAGAGGATTTGTACCCAGCCAAGAACCCAGCAGCACCGAGTGAAGGGGTTTGCATGGGGAAGCTGAGAAATCCTGCATTTTCAGAATGAGGATACTAGAAGGTGTCAAAGAACCCACACTTAGACGCGATGATTTTTAAATAGGGTTTCTGGGACCCTAGACCTAGTGGCTGTATCATCTGGTCCAGCCACCAGCCAGTGGGATGAGCAGGAAGGGTGGGGTGAGACTTCCAACTTTTTTTTCCTCATCTATTTTTATACTAAAGTGCTTCACTATTAGGTAACCATTGCAGGCCAAAAGGAGGACACCAGAGTTAGCTGGGAAGCTAGCATCAGATTATTTCTGGTGCAAGCCAAGCTGACCCGGATTTACTGTTGTTCTGGAGCACATCTGTCCCCAGGTGTTTAAGGCATCTTTGTTCTTTCACCCTTTATTGTGGTACACAGTATATCTAACCCAAAAGCATAGCATCCAGTGGTGACTCCAAATACCATTTTAAAATCTATTCATACATGCACACTTTTTCCTTTTCCTCCCTTTGCTGGCTGTGGAGTTGAAGAAGAGCAAGGAAAAGGGAAATGAAGTAGGATATCACATTTCAGCCTACAACTATGCTGTACTTGAGGAGTTTGCTAAGGTAGACATACTGTTGGAATACAAGCACTGGCAAGGATGAATAATGTTAGATTTCAAATTTAGCTTTCAGTTATGCTAAAACAATACCTATTCTCTCCAATCACCAAAGACATGCAGTTTAAACTAACATACATATTTTTGTCCACAAGGAAGCTGGCAGCACGCATTTGCAGGCTTGTTAAGTGAATTGCTTCTTCCAGCTGAGAAAAGCACGGTGCAGCAAAGGAAAATAAGATAAGAGCTTGCAAATATAACACATTCCTATGTGATCCGGTGCTCATGGAAGTGTTCTGCTTACACAATGGAAATATATGTAAACACTAACAGTGATGACTATTCTATCTGCTCCCATGAAATGCTCCCAGCTAAGGCTCTAACTGTGGTATGAAGCATGTCCCAGAAGGCTGAATTGGGAAATACTAGTATTCAGCTGCAAAATGGCTTGACATAGTAGTGCTGCCTCAGAAAATGAAATTTAAAGTGTGATGGAGTTCCAGGGCTGAGGGTGCAGCTTAGCGATAGAGCACTTGCCTAACATGTCCTAGGCCTCAAATTCAATCCTCAGCATTCTGGAGTGTGACTCCAGAAAAACTAATACTTAAAAGTACTCAACACTTTTATCTATACCTTGATGTATACCTCCTTAAGTTAGGATAATTTTCAGGTTTTGACTTTAAGGAAATTCATTGATGTTTCAAATCTCCCCTTCAGTGGTGTCTTTAAATGATTAAAACAGACAGAAGCTCCACCCTATGCGCCCAGCAAGATTTTATTTTTCTAGAGCCTGTCTTTTGTCTATGCTGAGATCTCCATTTTTTTTTTATATGGACGTGTGACAGATGATGATGATGTTGCCATGGAAACAACAACGCTTTGGATGACAGTAGCCAGCTCAAAAGTGAAATAGTACCTAGGGAATGTGTGCTTCCCTGGAGTGTTATGGATGGCATGCTTTCCTTAATAACCAGTTTGTAGCTAGGGGTAGAGGGTTTAACACCACACATACCCTTCAGGCAAGTCCTGAAATTAAGTCCAATGCCATAAGGATCTTTATTAAATAAATCACAGAATGGGCAATGACTTTATCCTTCCATTATAGAAAAGTCCACAAATTTATTCAAGCCTGTCAAAAATGAGTTCTTATCTGCAGAAATGTCTACGTCACCTCTCTGCTTAGTTGGCAATAACTCCTCTCTCATTTCCAGCATCCTAACCTGAAGATAGGCCATTAGGGAGGACAAGAGTGACTGAGGTCGTTAGTGGGAGCATGAAGGTTCCAATCCAGCCTTCCAATCATCGTAATTCAATTTCTTCCACACCAATGAAGCTGATGCATCAGCGCCTCCTGGGAGGTTGTGCAACAGTCATCACTGCTAGGGCTGAGCGCAAGGTTGTTTAGTGGGTAGACAAGTTGACCAAGCAGATGAGTGAAGAGCCAAGCATTCTGTATTTCAGTCCTTTGGCCTAGAAGTATCCTCTATAGGACCTTGCAATTATGTGAAGTCTCAGCTCACAGTGACTTGGCAAGCACTCATACTTAAGATCTCACTTGAAGGTTCCCCAGTACTCACAGCGTTAATTTTTATGAGTCACATAATGAGATGAGATATGCCAATGTACAATCCCTATTCCTTTTATAACATTAGAGGGCCTTTGGTAGACCTTATCCTTGTGTCCACACCCAGACTTGAGGTGTTGCTTCCTTACATTCTTAGGAAGGTAAAAGATACTTTGAAATAGTATAATGTCCTAGAATTTGGACTCTGAGCTGATTTCAGTTCTTTGTTTATACCTGTGTCTCCTCTGGCAAGACTTATTCTGAACGAATTTATTTTGGTGGACACTACTATGGTGTGGATCAAATGAAACAATCCACATTTAAACATTCTGTTAGCTGTGAATTGCAGGGGCTAGGACAGCAACAAAGTGATGATAAAGACTTCTTTGTTGGCAGACAGAGCTGCTGGGAAGGGGCCTCTTTCAATTTTAGGTGGCCGAAGATCTTTCAAATATTATTTCTGTGATATTTGCCTTAAATACTTCTAGTGCCAGTCTGTGGTGCAACCACAAAGACCTTTCCTTTGTGTGCTTTAAGCCAAAAACACCAAAGTTTTGTTTGATATTAGAAATTTCACACTGGGCAATAAAGCCCAGTTGCAGAAACATGGGGAAACCAAGTGAATAGAGTCAAATAATGTAAGTATGGTTAAACAGGGACTAAAGTGTTAAGAAAGCAGAATTTGAATTCTATGCCATCTTCAGATCCTGTATTGCATGCATGTCTTCAGTGCTTTGGTCTCCATACCAGCAGCTCTCATTTATTTGTATGGTCAGTACACATCCCTGGAGCCACTGAGACCCTTCCACTGGCTACTTTGTACATCCAAGAAAAATTTCTGCATTATGTGGCTGGCAAGTGTTAGTCAGAACTTGTTTTCAGCTTGTTTTTCATTACACTCTTAACAAATCGTAATTTCTAGGTGACATCTCCTAGATTCAATCTCAGCTCAAGTTCTGAGAAAAAGTTTAAATGAAAAATTCCTTTGATACATTTGTATTACAGACAAGAGCAAGGCAACGTTGTTTTTTTTTTTTTTTTAATCAGACAAAGAAACACACCAAGACTTTTATTTTCAGCAGCAATTCACAATCGGCTGAGAAAGATGTTTAAATTTCATCTTTCAGTTGGGAACAGAAGTCAGTACCCACAGAATTGGTTATAGAATTTTAGATCTGGAAGCTTCCTTGAATTTAATCTAGCCCCCCTCCCCAATTCATTTATAGTTGAGGGAATTAAAGACTGGGGATGCGAGGCAACTTGGCTGAGGTCACCCAGCTAGTTAGTAGAGCAGCTGGAACCAAACCCACGGTTCCTGGGGTACAGTTCTGAATTTGGCCCAGCTCATGGCACATTATGAACAGAGCAAAATCCCTGCCTTATGTAAACTAACTCTTAATCATCCACTGCAGTTCAGCCTGCACGTAAAAGGAAGCAGCACAAATACTGTACAGTAGGTGTTTCTTGTTTGTTCATTCATTCTCCTTGGTTAGATTTGTGGCATTCTGGTTTGTTTCTGTTTTTGTTTTTACAGGGCACTTAATGGGGAAAAAGAGCACAGGAGAATCCCCACTTGTGCTTGAAGGAGATGGCCTGAAGGAGCAACTAAGGGAAGCCGTTCAGTGGGAAGAGGCTACAAGGAATTTGCTGGGCCTCATAGAAGCAAAGGGGAACAGAAGTCATCAGTCACCTCAGCTCAAGTCCTTAAGCAACCACCAGCCTTCTTGGCACACAGAGGATAGCAGCAACTTGAAAGATGTAGGTTCAATGGGCAAAAGTGACATCAAACATACTTGGGAGGTGGGGTGGGAGATATATAAGGACACCTGGAAAGAGGAGTTTGATTAGGGGAATATCAAATTGCTTATGCTACATGTCTCCATAGCTACCACATAGGTCAACATCAATGCATGCTAGGCAAACTAGTAGACAGTTTCCATGCTCTATTTTGTTATTGGCAGAATAGATTACTGCTCCTCTTATTTTTTTTTTTTTTTTTTTTTTTCCTCCGGTACCGGGAACGGAACTCATGACCTTGCGCTTGCCAGGCAGGCGCTTTGCCGCTGAGCTAAATCCCCAGCCCTGCTCCTCTTAATACATAAAAAAGTTGTTGTTTCCAAGCTCTGGTGTAGGAGTTTTATTAGCAATTGTGTTTATTGAAGTTATGCACTGTGAGCCCTACAAGAATATTTTGATAGTGAAGCTATGAACTATATTTGAGTAAATCTCTATAGGTCTGTAGATATATTTAGTTTTGATAAGCACCAGTGGAAGGAAGAGCTTATTCACAGATATTTTTAGAAGAGAGTATTCTTGTTTGTATGCAAGAAGTATTTCTTCCTGTTTGTTCCATGGTCACCTGGCTCAGGTTTAATTCTGATATTTCAAAGCTTAGTGAATACATCTGGGGCCAGCTAATATGCCCTGAATATAATTTTATAGAGGACATGAAAAATATTAATAGGAAATTCTAGCAATATTTATTTACAAAGTAAATAAAACAAAGGGGAGCATACATTTTATAGGAAGAAAGCAAGACAACTGAAAATGAGGTAATTATCATAACTTTAAAGAAGTTTCTGTGAAATGTATAATAAAAGGTAAAAACAATAATTGCCATGATTATAACTGCTAGTTTTCATGAATGTTTAGTATAATCCAAGTAAGTAGTCTCTCTCTCTCTTTTTCTCTTTCTCTTTCTCTTCCTCTCTCTCTCTCTCTCTCTCTCTCTCTGCTTTATACTCACTGTAGTGTTAGTAGGAAGATTTTGTACTCTCTTGTTCTGGAGATTGAACCCAAGGCCTCCCAACATGCTAAGCACCTGCTCTGTAACTGAGCTGCAGCCTATTTTAGAGATAAGAAAACTGAGACTAGTCACAGAACTTTCCTTTGGTGAAATCAGGGCAAAAGCCTGTGCTCAGTCTGCCTCAGACCATCTGTACCCGCAGGATCTCCAGGGAATGGTCCTCATGGATCTTAAATATGCAGAATACCTGTATCTAGCACTAGCAGGCCTTCTTTCTCTTTGTTTTTGGCAATGCATAATACTACTTGTCATTCACAAAGCTTGGAGACCCTGCTGGTTCATTCTTTCATGGTGGCTAGCTTTTTGATTAACGTCACTTTGCAGAGCCTTGGAGCTGGCTTTGCCGAGTCTCAGCCGGCTTCCCTGGAGGAAGGCTGCTTCACTGCTGCATGTCTCCTGAGGGTTCTCTATACCAAATGCAGACTAAAAGTTAAATTGTTGCATGAGACATGTAGAGAGAAAGCCTTCAGTAGCTTTTATTAGAAAAAAAATCTGCATTAAAGCAACCACTACGAAAATAAGCAGCAACCAGTACAAAAGTAAGTACCAACTTTATAGAAAGCCTCTTGTTACGCCTATGTACAGGTGTTAGGTGATCAGCTCCATTTGTTTGTTGATGGATCACAAGCTTTGAAGGCAGTGTGGACTTCCTCTAGGTGGATGTCTAACTAGAGTGCCTTTCTCATTTGTTGGAAAAATTACAAAAATTGCCACCACACAGCCTCCTCAAATAACTTTTCCAGACATTGGAATAGGCTCGCTCTTCTGGCTCATGCATAAAATACTATCTCCCAACATGCACAGCTGTGTTATTAGTCTATAATGTTTCATTTTTGGAACCAAATGGTAGTGTCTAGTTTGAGTTGCTTTGATCCCTATTGGTTCTGTCAGTCTTGGGAATCTTTTGAAAATTTCAAGTCTTTCCTTGAATATCAAAAACTTCGTGTGTTAGGAAGAATATTTAGCGCTTCAAAGACAATGATGAAAGACTACCCCGAAAGGTCTCTGAGTGGCAGTATTATAGGATGTATTGAGTGGACAGCAATGGAGAATGACTACTCAAAAAAGGGCAATATTTCTCCCAAGGTGAGGTGATTTTCCTTAAAAATCAGGCTTTGCTTTCTACACTGTTTTTTTACGTGTTGTTTTTCTTCTCTCTTTTTTTCAAGTTTAGAAAGCCTATCCCATTTTATTCTCCTCAAGTTGAACAATTTGTTAGTGTACATATTGATCCTATTATTTTGGACATGTTTCCCAGTAATGTGAAAAACAAATCTGACAACTCACTGTTTGCAGATACCAAGGTAGTAATTTATCACTCCTCTTGCTTAAGAGATTTTGTGTCAGTGAAAGTATGTGGTTAGGAGAATTGGAAACATAATTCATGTACAGAAAGGAAGAGTGTCTAAAGAACAGTTCTACTAGAAATCCATAAATCTCTCAGAGCTGAGGAGAAGTTTAATAACTTCGCTGAGTATTGCCAGAATTAGCAGCAGGAGCTTTCAAAGGCTGAAGGACTTGGCTTAAAAATTAAAAACCATCCACATATGCTGTTCTCTCCCATTATAGTAATAAAACACCAAATCCTGTTGCCAGCTCTCCCAAGCTGTAGTTAGAAACTCTGGGCAGTTCCCATGTTTTGATGACAACAGTGCTTAACTCAGAAAGATGTGTGGGAATGCGCACTGACTAGCTGATCATGGCATACAGGCTCCAGGACTTTACGAGCAAGAATGGCCTAGAAATTTCAAGGTTAACCTTAATCATCCTTTCACTTGTGTCCTTCTCCCAAATCCTTTAATTCCATCCTGAAGGTAATGGAATTTTTACCTCATGGTTTTTAAAATATTAGAGGGTGTTCAGGTCCACTCCAGGGCCTAATTCAGAATCCTCCACATGTATGTAGATTGTGCTGTGACAAATGAAGGTTCCAACTGCCCTTGGGGTTATCTTGTAATTTGAGCCCCATAGCTTGTTCCTTGAAGCCTCAGGTTTTTCCTTTCATTTAGCAGGCATGAAGAAAGGAGATGGGGTTGGGGAATGGACACCAGAGGTTGTTCTGGAAAGGGAGTAGATGTGTAAGCTTGTCCTTACTTTGAAGGGACCCCTCTCTGTGTCAACGCTCAGCGATCACTGTGAGACATAGGGAGGTTTTGCTTCTTAATATTTGCAATTCTCCAGAAGTAGTTCCACGTGCAGAAAAAGCAACACATACTACAGAATAACTAATGACCCTGCACTTACCCCAGTGGTTTCTATGAAGGAAAAGAGAAGCCAGCCCCTACCTCAAACAGAATTCCACCCCATCCCCAACCATTTCTGCCTCCTGGGTCTTGATCTTCCAAAGTTACACTTGAAGATACTTTTCATTTTCACTTTGCTTCTATTCCCTTGAGCCAAACCTCTCAATTCAATGTTTAGGGTGTGTGGGGGGAGTGCCTTTATGGATTTTCCCCACACCTTAGCTTTATGGATTTTCCCTTTACAGATTATGCCCTAGCACCTTTTAGACCAGAGTCTCCTATGGCAGGACGGATGGTGGCATCTCCAGGCGGGACACAGGCCCTTAATGGTGCAGTCTGGGTTGGCTGAGGAAGGCAAAGTTAATTGGCAAGGTTGGGAACTGAGCCACAGCCCTGGGCTCATTAGCATCTGCTCAAAAGTGTCCAGCCACATAGCAGGTAACCATTTGCCTAAGAATAGCCGTAGTTCCTTTATTAGAAGAAATAAATAGCCAGTCTGGAAGTTGGGGAATCTGAATTGCCAGAGAATCCTGGGAAGAGTAATAAACTCTAGTGTGGGTAAAACATAATAAGCTCTGGTCTCTCATCTCATTGGGGAAATATTGCTATAGGGGAACAAAGAAGTGGTTGTGTTGTTGTTTTGTTTTTTAAAATTGCAGCCACCCTTTCTCCAGTCTTAGTTAAGTTGAGCAGAAGCCACAACAAGCCACAATAAATTTAGAATTTTGGCAGAAACCCAAATTAACACCGTTTCTCAAGATGTCCCACACTACTACCATTTACAGTCTGTGTTTGCAGTGTGTAATTTGGAAACTAGGTCTGATTGCTGTAACGAAGCATTGCCAAAGTAAGCCAAGAGAGAATTAAATACCACCTCTCTGTCTCAGCTACTACTCTAGGAATAAATTCCTGGGAGTAATACTTTTAATCTCCAACACTGGGTAAAACGTACTTGAGTAATCAGATCAGGGGCAAGTTAAGTGGACACAAAAAGATCCCTAAAATGCATCTGCTTTGAAAAGTAGACATTAATATCATTGTTTCTCAAACACTGGGTGCTCAGACGCACTGAGGGGGTTATGAAGGCAGATTGCCTGTCAGGCTCCTCCTCTAAGTCATTCAGATTGAGGTTGACTCAAGAATTTATCCAGTAGGCCAGGCATGGTGGCATACACCTATAATCCCAGCACTTGGGAGGCTGAGGCAGGAGGATCCTTGCAATTATGAGACCAGCCCGGGCTACAAAGTGAGCTCAAGGCCAGCCTGAACTGCATAGCAACACCCTGTCTCAAAAAAAAAAAAAAAAAAAAAAGAATTTGCCCAGTAAACTCTCCACTGACGCTGATGGTCTGTTGGGAATGGGTTACACTTCTGTGTCACTAATGTGTTTAACTCTTTCTAATATTTTTTAAGTTGGTAGACTATCTGCTCCAGGTTCTTAAGGGGAAGGAAGGAACCCCCAGCTAAACAGCCAATGGTGACAACAGCCACAAAGGAACAGAACAAAATCCTTAAGAGACTGCATTCTGCAAGCATCGACTCTACTGGATCACAAAGATCTCGTTTGTGCAAAAACACTTTGCTAGTCTCGTATCTTTCAACCTTGACTAAATTAGTGATTTTCAAGCAGTATCTTCTGGTTTGAACTTGTTTGCTGTGAACAGTTGTCCAAAACAGAGTCTTCCAATGATTGCTTTGTACATCTAGACTACTTGTTAATTAGATTCAGGGCCCCAGTCTGTTACCATTCACAATAAAAGCTTAAACGTATTGTCCAGCGGGAAGGTTGTTCTTTTCTTTCAAGTCCAAATGAGAGGACAGTGCGGCAGAGATGAGCAGTCCTTGTGTGGTTATGAATTAAGTCAGGCTGAATCGATAGCACGGCCCTCTGAAGGCCACTTAGTGAGTCCTCATAGTGTGTAATGGCCCTTCCAGAAGCTCATGGTCTTTTATTATCTCCGTTAGACTGGCTAGGTTGGAGACAGAGGCTGGCCCTAAGTAATTCCCTTCTCTTCAGCCTTTGCCGTGACCAGATATGTTGCTGATGTTATTGATACACCCTTTTTAACAGCCCTGCAAAGTGAGAATAATCATTCTCATCCAGTAGATGAGGACACAGAGGATTAGGGACATCAGGTGGTTTGCCACATAGTAAACATAGCTGAGACCCAAACATCCACAGTCACCAGGTTTTCTGCCTTGCACCATTTTAAATCCTTCTTCCTAGCTGGGTGTGGTGGTGCATCCCTATAATCCTAGCGCTCTGGGAGGCTGTGGTAGGAGGACTGCGAGTTTCAGCCCAGCCTGTGCAACTTAGTGATTTACCAAGACCTTGTCTCAAGATAAAAAATGGCCAGGGATGCAGCTCAGTGAGAAGGCCCTGGGTCTGATCCCTAGGAAAACCAAGCCAATCCAATCCAAACCAAACCAAACCAAACCTTTTTAGCATATTTAGCAAGTAGAACTGTTTCAAAATTTCACTGCCCATCTGGGAGGAAAAGTTGTCCCCCTTGTCAGATTTAGCCAGCTCAGTGGCAAAAAGATAAGATGAATTCAAACAATTGTTTCCATTTTCAAAGAATGTGGCCTGGCGGTTTGTCACCACTCACCAGCTCCATTTTCTCACGACATTTGCACAGTAACAGATTTCGAAGCGTTTTTGCCATATGTTTAGGTTTTCTTCATTTAGGAAAACCACATTTGCAACCTTAGAGAGATCTATCTCCCTCTTGTTTTGATTGCCAAAGAACCACAGAAGAGATGTCGTGTTCTTTCTAATTTCTTTTAAAACCATATCGATTCAAAACTTATACAAAGTGAGACTTGGGGAAATATGCAAAATGTATCTTCAGCGTCCTTCTAGCCTCCCCCTCAGGGTCCCTGTTAGGCTTTTCCCCAGGAACATGATCGTGGGTTGTGTCAGCTAAAGCCCCATGCAGCTGAAGGGGGAGGGTGGGGCTCTCCAAAGGATTCGTCCTCTATAGGACCCCAGGAAGATGAAAACCATCTCCCACACCCAGGTGAGCTTTCTCTAACAATGGCATCACAGGCAGGGAGAACACACTTCTTAGACATGAGGGGGTGTGGCTAGAATCACCCCCTGTAGACTGTCACTTGTTGGGTTTTTCCACGAGAGTGGATACACACGATCCTGCGTTTTGGTGGAAAGCATTTCTCCTCAGAGTTTGGGCTGAAAGATAAGAACAGCTCACTCAGGGCTCCTGACCTTGCAGGGTTCCTCCCTGCTAAGCCCAGGTCAAGATTAGAATTCCATTAACTGAGAGATGTGTTCTTCCTTACCTGAAGGGCTTCTTGAGCTTTTTCCCAAGTGGTGTTATATCACATACACACCTGTGTGTGCCTGCTGGGTCCCGTAATTACTAGCTGCAGAGAAGAGCACCTGCCTTTGATAGTTTAAGCAGAGAAGGAGGGATCTATGAGAGGATGTGAAACAGGGAAGAACAGAGAGAGGGGCTCAAGGCTTGAGCCGGAACTTGTAGGTTCAGTACTCACAGCCTGCTCCTGACTTGGTTGATGCGATGGCTGCCTTAGAAGTCCTCTGCCCTTACCTCTGCCCTTACTACCTGCCCCACCAGGGCATGGTGTCCTGAAAGCCTCACCCACTGGGACTCAGTCCCAAATCAGTCTTTAAGTTCCTTACCAGTATTTGTTTGCAGTACATAATAATTACATTTGCTTTTGGGAACTGGAGCCCATCCCTACTGCATCTTGATCATGTTCACAGCCCATTCTCTCTTCCCTCTTTTTCAGGCCCCCTTCTCATCTCCCAGAAATCTAGCCCCATTTTCTACCGCCTCTCCTTTATTCTGCTCTTTAAATTGTTTATATTTTGGGTTTCTCATACAGAGGAGACCATGCAATATTGAACTTCCTGTGTCTGATTCTAAATCAGCCTTGAATAAGGATGCTTGCTCAGTGGGACCTAGATTGCAGACCCCTCTCTAGCTGCAAGGGCAGCTGGAAATGTAGCTTTTAGGATTCTGCTGTGGGAACACAGGACTAAACTTATGGGACCCTCTCAGAAGCAGAGAGGGTGTGAAAAGATATGATCAAGCACAAATAAAAGATGTTCCCTCCTCTTTTTGTCCAGAAAAAGATTTTCCCCTTTGATTTCTGCCCACTGTTGATAAAGAGAACAGTTAGTACCCAACATGGGATTCTGGGCAAACAGGGCCTGGTGGTTGCTGTCCATGGCACACAGGCCAGGTGTGAGCACAAAGCAAAAATACGTTTCTAAGAGGTGGCGATGTTTAGAAATCCTTGCAGCAAAGCAGGATAATCAAGAGGCAGAATCTAAAAGGGAAGAAAGCAATAACAGCCTTCAAATTTGGTCTTTTAGAGTCTTTTTTTTTTTTTTTAAGTGCTGCAGGGTGGATTGCTGTGGGTAATTTGGCAATCTCTGCCTATGATCAGAGATTCAGAAACACACTAGACAAGCATTTCAAGTAGTACAGTACAATTTTTAGCTTCAAAAATGCCCACCTTTCAGTTCCTGCTGGGGGTATTGGATCATCACAGAGCATTTAAACCCAGCTCAGATGTGTGGGGGATAATCTCAGTAGAAATGTGGGAATTGCATTATTCACTTCCTCGGCCACGGGCTGCTGTAATGGGACTGTATGAATTGACTGAGGGAGATTCACAACAGTGGACTCTTAGCATTCTCAAAGTGAAGGGCTCATATGGACTAAAAGCTCCATATCACCCAGTTAATCACCGTAGATGAGACCCAGATAAGACTCAGAGCCTCTTTCTACATTTCACTCCTTTTACAGCTACTTTATGTGGTCCACATACGTTAAATAATGCATAGCCTGGCAGACGGAGAGCAGATCGTTACCATGGGTAGCTTGAATGGCCGCCTGCTCAAAGTTTGAGGATGAGTCCCAGCTCAGAGGAACTTTGTGTAGCCTCCAGGAGAATGAGCTCTTCAAGGTCCCGCTTTCAATACTGTAATCACACTCTACCCTTTTCTAGAGGGCTGTCATTCTTCAGCTCACCTTGGAATAGATATCTATGCATTAAAAGCACACTTTGCACATGACAAAATATGGTTACTCATATTTTTAAAAATTCTCTTGTGATTGCTACTTAGCTCTGTGAGTTATTAATGTCCATTTTACATGTAAAAATGTCCTGTTGGATGTTAATGATTTTTGCCTATTAGTTCCAAATAAGAAATTTCTCTTACTGTCTTAACATGATAATTGACAACCCAGAACGCTCTCCTTTGGAAGCACATGAGAATTTAGCTGTCAATTATATCTATATTGATTAGAGATTGTATTTAAATATATGTGACAAAACCAAGCCCAACCAAATATCCATGGTTGAAAGAACATAAAGTTGAATTATCTCTCATATCATAAAAAGTCTAAAGGTTGGCAGTGAAGTGATCCACAAACTCAGAGCTAAGAGTTTTGTGATATTCTTCAATTTCCCTTCATCACCAGTCACAAGGTGGCTGCCACAGCTCCAGCCAACCTATCCCAGTTTCATCTAGGAAAAACAAAGGGAAACAGGAAAGTGTGGGATCCGTATCAGGAGAGCAAAGCTTTCTCAGACATGTTCAGCCTCTGTGTTCTGGTCAGAACTGAGTCACAGGGGAGAAGCTGAGAAATGTCAGATTTCAGGTGGGGACATTGCAAACCCATCACCCCCCCCCCAAAAAAAACCCCTCCAAACAAAAGCTAGCTAGTGTGACCTGTTATTATGACATGGAGTACTGAGAAGAAGCAAGGTGGAACTAGTGGGTGTTATGCTGGATATGACCAGTGGAGGCCTGGATAGCGGTGTCCATGTTTGGTCAGAAACTGCCCCAACCACGTCTCATTCCACATACTGAGTGCAAGAAACGCAAGGTTCTCGGGCAGTATGCTTCCTGCATGGCCTCCCCTCCCCTTTGTCCCTGAAGACAAGACAGTAATAGCACCATATTTCGTAGCTTGGGCACATCTTAATTTCTAAAACTAAACCCAAGTTTCTCTTTATGTGGAAAAGACCCACTTTGAGCCCTGTCATATCCATCTGCCCACGCGGGCACAGGGTTTGCAAGTGTATACGGGTGACGGTGTCCGTGGCCTCCTCATCCACGTCCCCTCAGGCGCAGGGTCTTGGTGCAAAAACTGCACCCAGCTCAGCACTCCAGGCTCCGACGGAGGGGACCCGTGTTGCTGCTTCTCTTTCCCCTGTCATCGGACTCCTTTGTGAACAGATGATGTGCGAGGATTCCGCATGCTCTCTAGCTGGAAAAAAAGACTGCTTTTGTAGACTTTCAGGAATAATGAGTGTTGAATTAGTTAGGATTCCCGTGGCTGTGAATGATAGAGAACCCTCAACTCAAATTGGCATTAAAGATAGAAAGATTTACCTCACATAAAAGAACTCTAGAGAAAAAGGTGTGTGTGTGTATATACACATACATGTGTGCGTGTATGTGTAGGTGGGTGGGGGCTTGGGCACTCACGCTCACTTAGTTCAAGGTAACTCGGTGACTTAAAAACTCCTTCAGGGATGGCTGAGGGTCTTCCCATCTTCTCACTCTGCCAGCAGCACTTCAGACATGTCTTTAAGCCAACTTCTCTCATGGTCACAGGTTGGCTGCTGGAATCTCAGATGTCACATCCAGGCACAACAACATTCAGAGGAGGAAGGTGAGAGGCCACCTCTTTCTCAGCTTTGCCTTCCCAACAGAGCTAAGTCCTCTCCCTACTTGCTTACAATTTGCCCAAACCCAACCCTGACGAAGGGGAC